CGGCCGGGCCACCCTCACGTCTGGTGAACCTCATGGAACATCAGCTCCCGCGGGATCCGCGTCTCAGGACCGAAGTTCTTGGCCGCCCGGCGCTCGAAGGCAGCGACCATCTGCTTCACCACCTCGTCGAAGAAGACAGTGGCGAGTTGGGAGTGGAGCAGGGAGCGGAACTCGAAGGAAATCTGGGGAGGAGCACAAGTCTGTGAGGAGCAGCTGAGGGCCCAGGGGGTGGTTCCGCCTGGAGGAGGCTGAGGGGAGTTGGTCTCTTCTCCCAGGAAACAATCAGGAGGAAATGGGCTCAAGCTGTGCCGGGGAGGGTTAGATTGGAATGTTGGAGAGCAAGGAGAAGGGCCTGGAGAAGGGAGGAGTGGCTGAAGGAGCTGGGGGTGACCAGCCTGGAGGAGACCTTCTTGCTCCGCAATTGCCTGAGAGGAGGTTGGAGCCAGGGAGGTTGGTCTCTGCTTTCCAGGAACAAGGGATGGGACAGGTCTCAAGTTATGCCAGGGGAGGTTTAGATTGGAGATTAAAAGGACCTTCTTCACTGGAAGGGTCATTAACCACTGGCACAGGCTGCCCAGGGAGGCAGTTGCATCTCCATCCCCGGAGGTGTTGAAGAGATGTTTGGATGTGGTGCTGAGGAGCTCGGTTTAACCACTGGACTTGGTAGAGTTGGGTCATGATTGGCCTTGAGGATCTTAGAGGTCTTTCTAACCAGAGGAATTCTGTGACTCTGAGGAGGGTCAGCCTGGGTGGGGGGCAGCTCCCCCAGTCCCCCCAGCCCAGCCTCTTACCGAGAAGTCCACGGTGCTGGTGCGGGGGTAGCCGGGGATGCCGGGGCTGAAGCGCCAGTTGGTCTCCAAGTGGTTGAAGAGGCGCCCGTCGGTGCAGACAGCCTGGGGTGGGAGGGGAGCGGCTGCTCAGGGGGGTCCAGGAGCCAGCCAGGGGGGTCCAACTCCCCCCGGGTGGGGTCTGCACTCACCTTGACGAGGTGTGGGCGGACCAGGGTGACAATGGAGGTGTAACGTTCCAGCACGGGCGGGAATCCCACCTCCAGCTGGGCCTTGATGTGCCCCGTGCGCTTGGAGACCACCACAGACTTCTTGCACCAGGGCACGAAGTTCTTGTACTCCTCCACGTTGGCCACCACGTCGTACATCTCCTGCATGGAATACCTGGGGGGGG